AAGAGTTCCTTTCCTTCACAAGGTAAGGTTGTCTGCTGCCTGGACTTTTCAATATGACAGACACCTGTAATAAGAAGGCTTAGCACCTTATGACTTATTACATGTGTCCCTTGCTGCTCTTAACAGCTTGTTTATTACCACCTACCCTTCACTGCCACTCTTGATTCCTCTGATGCTTCTGTGAAAGCTTAGGCAGGAAAGATGCTACCTTTTCTGCACTGTAGCTTTATTAACTTGGGTAGTTCAAATTGAAAAATCAGAAGGAAGAGTTTGGCAAACCCGAAAAAGATCCTGTTTTTTGAGGTCTCTATCCTTAAAGTCATCTTGGTGGATCAGGTTTTTTTTTTTCCCCTTGACCAGTGATTCCCAACCTTTTTTGTACTGCGGCCCAGCAGCAGAGCTGCATGGGAGTGAGGGGATGCAGGGCCAGCAGATGTTGGGGCCAGGAGTGAGTGAGTGAGTGAGTGAGGGCTGAGCTGCTGGGAGTTGGTTAAAGCTCATGCTACAACCCAGCAACCAACCCTTTGCGGCCCAATACTGGGTGGGAAACTCTGTCCTAGACCACAGATTCCAAAAACAACTCTGCTATTAAAGACACAAAAAATTGCTTAAGTCTCCTACTATGCTTAATTTTAGTACTTATTCAAGTTTTATTTTCTATTGCTTCAAATCAAGGGAAGAGGGGCAAAGGAATAACTTAGCTCTAACTACTCCTTCATTAAACAGACAGATTATTTTTGTTGCCATTGAGAAGCTTGTGCATGTTCTCTCAGATTCCTGATGTCTCCATGTCCAAATTTGGAGCTATGAACAGGTCTTAGAAAGCTCTAGTCATAATTGGTTAACATTCAAGCAATATCTTGTCCAGACTAGATGAAAATTCCTCAGATGGAGAAGGCAACCAGTGCACTTTCCAAGCCACCTCCACCTTCTCACAAAGGGGTTTGTTTTTGTTGCAGGAAGACTGGCTGTCAATGCCAGTGACCTTAACCTTTCTCTACACACAATGGGGTCCCATTCTTAGCCCCTGGGTAGGCTGGCCTCAGAGATAAATTTTAAGCCAGATAGCATATGACGTCTCACCTACCAGTCATGAATCAATGCTCAGCATGAAATGCTTCACCAACTATTTTTGAATATTGTTCCTAATTAATGGGATTGTTCCCTGCCTGAAATTTGGGGGAAAGAAGGTTCAAATATTAAAGACAATGACACCTCTGGAAACAGAAAAGCTTCCTTGACTGGTGCTGAAAGCAGAGGGATGAGGGGTGGGGGCAGAATTGTTTTACAATGCTAGGAAGGGCTCATTCATTATGAGTGACACTACACTAGCGTGGGCCTTTGTGTTGATATTGGTAAAAGGTTCTCCTTACACCATCTTCTTGGATGATACTTGGCCTCTCCCTCTCAATGCTAACAGAACTTTTAGGATGTTCTTTGTGATCTTCCTTGCGAGGAAAACCAGCTCTATTCTTTAAGCCACACAAACTCAAGTGCAATTCTGTCCAGGTGCCAGTGCTTGATTTATTAGATCATGGCGCTAGTGCCAGTGACATTAATACCCTCTCAGATGTCTTCAAGCCTGCTGGATTGGGGTTGTCGCAGAGTATTTGCCATGGACAACTTCCCTGGAAAATGTTTCCCTCTTCCAAATTGGATCCAACTTTCAGAGGCTGCGCTAAAAGCTGCAATTTAAAACTTGAGTCTTCTGTGTTACAGGTATACAAAAGAGATTAGGTGGGTCTTTCTCCAAGACAAAAGGATATTTGCTATGTCCACCAGCTAAGGAATGTAATATCACCATACGATGGACAGAGTTTAAATCCTATGAGCTTAAAATCTCACGCAATGGTTATTATCAAGTGTTTCACCCTGATGTACAGGAAGTATACAAAAGGACTCCCCATATTTGTTGGGAAACTTCCAAAAGAAGATTGTGGGGGAATAAAGTAGAAAAAAAATCTTCATAAAATCAGGCAACTGGGTTAAATCTGAGGCTCAAACACAATAGCTGAAGACTGTCTAGTTTCCATCTCATAGCATAGACGGCTTGTGGCTGCTCTACCCTTTCTGTTGCAAAGAAATGAGAGACAACAAACACACACATAGGGGCCAATGACCACTCCTATTCCCAAAACTGCAAGGTAATGCACAAGGCACACATACAGATGCAAGTGAAACCTAACCTACACTCCAAAAATTAAAATCCAAAAACTTTAGGAGTATACAGGAAAAAAAGGTCTATAAAGGTCTATACATGTCTCTTTCATATATGGGCATTAAACAAATCAGTTCTTTAAAAAAATCTACTTTAGCTCAAAGGAATTTGGAAGATCACTTCACTGCAAACATTGCTATACTCTATATTTTTAATCTATGGCTGAAGTAGAACTTCCCCAACAGCATACTTATATTGGATTTCTGCTCAGTCAGGACTGTGAGTTGACCACAACTTCTCAGCAATAAATGTTCATCTCACAATGCATTTCCACAAATGCAAGATTTGTCTATCATTTTGCTACTACTACTGCCTGTTCACCAAAAGGCTGTCAGAAACTAGTTTTGTCCAAGCCTCTTTACAGAAATCCAATGCTGGGAAACTGTCTAAATTCCCATTAGTATTTTAACAACTGCTGCTAATTTCTTTAATTACGAATACCAAATACAGAACAAAAGACTCAGTCTTACAAGTGAAGAATCAATGAAAAACCAAAAGCGTTCAATAATTCTGTAGCATCAAAAGATATACTGGATACTTTTGAGTACGAAGCTACTGCCACCACCCTAAAGAACTTACTGCTAAATTTCAGATGTGGCACAACAGGAGGCAGGGAAGAAAATGAAGCATGGCACTTACAGAATGAGAACAATGAGGTACAACTATCTGGATAACCTAGGAGTGGGCAAAATACGGGTTGCGGGCCGCATCCTGTTCATGGAGGGACTCTGTCCAGCCTGTGGCATGTCCCTTGGTCTTGCTTGGCCCAGGCGCTATCTGGTCCGTGGTGTGTCCTGCAGCCCCCAGATGCGCAGCAGGGCTGGGATGGCGCTGCAGCTGGACTCTGGCCCTGGCCCCCCACGGACTGGCAGGGAGCCACGTGTACAGCCCTGGCCCAGCCTGTCTCATGCCCACTCTGGACCTGACCTGACTGAAGCGGACTAGCTCCCAATCATCCGGGACCTATGTGCACAGCCCGGCCACCCTGCGCCCTCTCTCCAGACCTGCCCGCCCATGATGAGCAGTGGCGACAGACAGGCAGAAGCTGCTGCTGGGTGCAGGGGAAAAGCAGCAACCCCTTCACTGCTGCCAGGCCCTTCTTGCTGCAGTTGTCCAGAGCCTGTACCTGAGCTGCTCTGTGGTGCCTCTCTGCCACCAGCACTGCTTCTGGACTGTCCAGTAGGGGAGAGGCGGGCAGTGGAGAAGAGCTACAGGACAGCCCAGGTGCAGGCTCCAAGCGGCTGCAGCAAGAAGGACCTGGCAGAGGCAAGGGGAAGAGGTTGCTTTTCCCGTGCCCAGCAGCAGCTTCTGCCTGGCTGCTGCCGCTGCTGATCATGGGTGGGCTGGTCCAGAGCAAGCACAGGGTGGGGGGCCAGGATTAGGGCTATGCGCGCCAGACCCAGCTGGTCCAGAGCTGGTCCACTCCAGCTGGGACAAGGCAGAGCCAGAGCCAGAGCTGTATGCTCAGCTGCTGCGCAGATGCCACAGGGTATGTGCGATCCAGGCTACTGCAGGGGCTGACGGGCTCACAACAGCTCCCCAAAAGTGTCTGTGGCCCACAAGCCCAAATAACTGTCTGCCCCTGGGATAACTGCACCTCAGACTGGTCTCATGAGCTAATTAGTTTAGGTCTGACTAATGACAAACAAAAAGACAAACAGAAAGTCTGCTGCCTGCTGCAACTGGTGGCTGTTTTCAGAAGCAGACACACTTCCCCATCACTGTCTTTACTGAACCGCTGTACAAATGTGGTGTTATGGAAACTGTACTGGTATGGATACATACAGAAAAACCAATGTCCTGGTCAAGTTTAATTTTCACAGACTCTAAGGACTTCTTAGAGTTGAAGGTTTTAATCCTGGCAAATTTAAGCTGCTACTCTGACTGACCAAGATGCCAGTTCCTGTTTCAGTGATCCCACTCAGTTTTCAGAAACTGACAGACAGACTAAACAAGATGCATCTACTTTTCTTAAAACAACATGTTCTCAATCAAAATTTTTATTAAGTCACCAACTTCTAGGGTCCAGAACAAACCACAGATTACTTCTCTGAAGACGATCCTGCTGATTAACACAAAAGACACGAGTCCTCCAAAGATGGCATGACCAATTCTACTATCAAATTTACACATGCAAAGAGCAATACACAGCCTTCCCTCTCAGTTTCCCTATAGTAGTGTCACTTCTGTCTGCTTGGAAGCTTGCAATAGCTCAAGCTAGCTTTAATATGAAGTGTACAGAAAAAGGAAGTTTGTAGATCTCTGATAAGCAAGAATAAGCTCATCTTGCAAATAATCTCTTTTTTTGGCCTTCAAAGCGACCTCCTTATTTACTTACTATGCTGTCCTTTGGCTTCCTCTTTTTGGATTAGGCACATATTGCAAAAAAAAGCATGAGCTTGTAAGGAAGGAGATGCCCCTCACAGGGCAAAGGCAGCAGCATCCCAGTGATACAGGCAAAAACGATGAGAACGGCAGAAGGCTACAGGAAGAGATCCAAGATGAGAGCATTCTGCTGACTGCTATCCTGCCTCAACTCCGAATGTTAATTGCAACAAAGTTTGTTTTCTCAACAGAATTTAGTGTAATACTCCTAAAAGCAATGGCAAGGCTGTATTTGTTAAATGTAGAGCTTGCAGCAGGAGCAAGTCACCTTACAGCTCAAAGGTCTCTGATACAAGTGCTGTTCCCATTTAAACTCCCCTGAAGTTGCTGAATTGCAGGCAATTTGCTTTAAGAATAGGACTGCAAAGACACACATGCATGGTACATATGCCCATACCTTTGTCCTTCTTGAAGTCCAAAGCATCCTCCTTATCTGTCACTATTTCCTTCATGTTGATGATACTTTGGTGGTTCAGCTGTCGAAGAATCTTAATCTCCCGAATAGCTGTAATTGGAAACCCTTCTTTTTCATTATCGAGCCGTACTTTCTTTAGTGCCACCATTTCTCCTGTGAGAAGGGTACAACATAAAAAAAAAAATTAATGCTAGCACTCAAAATGAAAGTTTAGATTTTTCAGTCTTTTATCACATATACAATGACTCTAGTTGATCTGATTTTCTCCTTCGGCTCAATATTGTAATTTTAAAAAATTACATATTCATGTTCCAGGGCTTGCACCTGCACTGCTGTAAAGAAAGTAAAGTCAGGAAACATTTGCAGAAGTGAAACTTGACATAACTTTCTTCAAACTGCTATGTGGTCTCCTCCTTCCTGCTACCTCAAGCTTCCAATCAATAATCTCACACACAGGAGTAAGAGACTTAACAACAGTCCTATCCAAGGACACCTGCACAGGTTGCTTACTTCATATTACAGCCCCATCTGAAGTCAAAGCAGGAAGAGATTCTTCCTATTAATAATCAATACTGTTTGTATTTATAACATACAGAAGAACAGCAATTTAAACCAAGATCAAGCAAGCAAGAGAAACTCTTAAATTTACTGCATTTTATTAAATGTAATAGCCTACTTAAATTTCATTTAACCTGTTAATTAAAAGGCGCTGGGAAACATTTAGTGACACTGATGGGTGTTTAAAAACTATTTTGTGCCTCAATGCCATGTATGACATTTATCTGACATACTGCATACAAAACAATTCTATAGATGACATTTTGGGAAGAGCAAGATTTTCCCCTATTATTCAGAGAGCGGCTATGAGCCTGTGGTACAGAGCAAAAACAGCCAAATTCCAGAACATACTTTCTAAATCACACCCTTTGGCTTTCTACAAACATTCTCCCAGGTTTGTTTTCCTGGTAGGAAAAGACAAAACAAAACAAAACATAAAACTTATTCAGAGCCACATGTATAGATATTCGAACCCTGAGGCACTGAAGAGTGGAGAGCTTGCAGTGCTGACTTTGTGCAGCCGGGGGGGGGGGGGGTT